ACACACAAGTCCTTAGTAACGCAACTATATCACTGACATGGACAAGGAAAGCAAAAATGTGATCAGCCTAGCAGTTCGTTGCTTGTGGATGATTTTAACCAACCACACGGAGCTTGTTGGCTTCAAAAAGTCCAGTAAACGGTGCGCGTCCAAGCCTGTTCCAATAGAAAAAAACAATCTGCAGTGACAGTGACTGGGAGGTGGTGAGGCGTTGACGGACTTCGTTTCGAATAAGTGCTTATGATCCATCTGCTAAAAGCGGTGTGTATGTGTGTGTAAACTCCCTGCGCTATACTCTAGCCCATATTTGTATTTCTGGTCCCAGCTGGTAGTACGGGGTACGATTGTCTGAATAAAAGTATAGTAAACCCACAACAGACTGCAGCAATCCACCCGCATTTTCTCTCATCCCTCTCCTCTGCAATTAGTACCTGGCGGACTTCAGTACTCTGGTAGTTGGTTGCTTAGAAGAAAAGGATGCCATCACTGAAACAAGAGTTCAATTTCCCTGACTTTTCGGATTCCCTCGGGAATCCTTAATTGTAGGTGATGATAACAGTCATGGTCATGCGCAGATGGGGTGGACGCATGCACAAGCTTTACGGTATTTATAGTTCATAGTGGTCATCCGTGTGTGTGTGTGTGTGTGTGTGTGATAATTGTTCACTTCTGTAGCCATCGCTTGGGTCTTAATTGACGCGGTACTGTCTTGGCACTTCACGTGCAACTCAATAATTGCCACAATTGCCTCGTCATTGTCGGATGCGGGCCTGATAATTGCGTGACAATTATGCTCGCCCTCGTCAGAGTTGTTGCTGCGCCCTGTCCTTCCCACGTGACTGCTTCTCTTGCTCAGACAATATCTCAGTACACCGTATGGGAACGCCAAATCGTTGCGCCTGTTGATGGACTGGGGGCATGAGAATCATGACTCCAACAGCTCGCGGCTCACGCGGTTGTCACCTCTTGCGGGGAGTTCGGCCTCGCCAAACTTGAAAATATGGTCGGGTCCCGTCGTATAAGCTGCAACCTGGGAATTCGCGTCTTTCTTTCTCACCGCCGCTGCATGCTCGGCCATTCGCGTCGTGAGTAATCTTCCGGTTTCTCCAACATAGTTGCTTTGTCCACATTTGCACCAGATCCGGTAAGCGAATCCAGCTGTTTCCTGCCGTGGCAGTGGGTCTTTCGGTCTCATGACCCGGCAAGAGAATAAGCCACGTGGGAAGGGCCGGTTCGCAGCAACAACTCTAACGACAGCGGACAAAATTGTCATGCAATTATCAGGCCCGCATCCGATGCTGACAAGGCAATTGTGGCAATTAGTGAGT